CATCGTCCGCGGGGCAACAATGAGGTCGGGTCCGGGGCAGCCCGGGCGGACGCCGCTCTCGCCGCGGGGTGCGTGCGGGGGCGAGGCGAGCCGGGGGCTGGGCGAGGGAGGGAGGGGAATCATTGTTTGGGTTCGGGAACGACGCACGTTGCGGGCGAGGCGGGGACGTCCTCCCTCCCAGCGTTTCACCTTGGAGGGATGAATGGGGGCGAGGCGCAGACGCGTGTCTCGCGTGGGAACCCCGGGAGTAGGGGCGCCCACCCGCACTAGTTATTTAAGGAAGCAGGCGAACTTGCAGGAGAGGGAAGCGGGACCTACAGACCCCCTGTCGAGGCCGCGGGAACTGTGCGGGCGGCGGGGGGAGGAAGTGCAGGCCCCCGCCTTGCGCCCCAGAAGGGAACGGGGAGAGGAGGGCAGCGCAGAGCCGAGTCCCTGACGCCTCCGCCGGCGGCCCCTCCCGCCCCGCCTCCGCGCCTGGAGGGGCAGATCCGCGGGATTCTGGGGCAGCGGAGAGGTGGCAGCCGGCGCGGCCGGGCCTCAGCGTCCTGCGGCGGCCTGGAGGGCGCTGGGTCAGCGCCGGGCCGGGGGGCGGCGGGGCGGAGTGGAGGCTGGGCGGAAGCGGACCGTAGGGGTGGGCGAGTGGGCTGGCCAGGCGCGGCGGTCCCCGAGCGAGCTTGCGTGCGCCACTTTCTTGCAAACCTAGGTGAGCGCGCTGGGTGAGCCAGGCGGGCCCGACACCCTCGCACGGTTACCCTTAAGTCCGCCCCGCGTGGGAAACCGCCCGGCAATGGGAAGGCCGCTAAGAGGAAGTTTACGTTGAGAGGGAAAGATTTGCAGTTATGTGGCGTGAAGTGGGATGGGAAGAGAAACTAGGGAGAGGCCGAGAAACAGGAAATGAGAGAAAAGGAACGAATTCTGGCCAGGAAAATCCGTGTTCTACATTTTGTGTGGCGTTCTCCAAACACTTCTAAAGGCCCGGTGTGCGTTATTAATAAAAACAAAGGCAGTGTACTGGCTGGTGCGTTCTCTGCCTCCTGCCACATTCTGCATGTGAGGAAGATGGGAAAGTGGTCCAGCCTGGAGAGTGCGTCCACAGCCCACTTCCAGTCCCGACTGGATGAATCAGTGGGTCTGTATTTTAGAAATTAAACAGGTTTTTGAGAAGGGGTGTGACCTGGACTTAGGGCTTCGAAGAACAAATGAGATAAGTGTGAAAGTGTTGAAAATTGTGGACCACTCCTTAGGCGAAGTATCCTTAGATGAGGCAAGCAGCGGGACGAGGACGGCGACAGAAGCCCTCATCTGAAAACGTGGGTGCAGCAAGAGAATCGGGAACTCGGAAGGAAAATGGAACCTGGAGACTGAGGGCTTGGTTGGTCGCTGGGGCGGAGATCTCTATTCCCGGGAAAGCAGCTCCGCACCCCACCCGTTGGTCTGATCCTGGGCTCAGGGTAAACAGCCCTTTAAGGTCTACTACCTCTGGATAGAAACAACAGAGAAAGACAAATTTAGAAGTGGTAGAATATCAACAATGCACAATATTTAAACGTAAAACTTCCCTCTACTAGAAACACTGTTTCCTTCTAGGTGGGGCAGGGAGTGAACGGAAATGAGTTTAACTGTAAGAGTAGAGGGTGCTAAAAGATATGTCGTTGTGGCAGTTCTTATACTAACAGCTCTTTCTCAAAAAGCTAAGTGGCAGACTTATATTCTACAGCAAGTGCTTCTGCACGTGGAAAAGCATTCCGAATAACACTTCCTGCATATGGCAGCCGCCACGGGCAGGTAAATATAATGATGAAAGATACAAAATAAAGAATCCATTCCAGAGTGATACGGAAATTACCGGTAGGTCATGGTTAATGTCTATAATCTGAATAGTGTGGTTAAAAGAAATACATCAACATTAGAAAAACTGCTTGCAGATTTTAAAAATAGAAATGTTAAGGCAACTCCCCAAGTAAAAAAAGAAGGAAGAAAAATACAGGTGTAAAAGTGTGAATCACTTCATTGTATGAAGTGGGGATCCTAGTGGAAGAGCAAAGACAATGAGAATAAAGACGCACCGATATTTCTGAAAGTTAGGGTCCCCGAGAAAATTGCCCTGTGTGTGTACAGGCATGCATTTCTAATTCGATTCATATGATTCTAAATCTGTATAGAACTTAAACTAAGGGAACAGAAAGGGAGGAGATAGGGAAGAAGCACAAATATGTGCATATTTTTATGTTTAGTTCTTTCTAGTTCCATTTGTGTGCAGGGATGTGAAAAATCAGAAAAAGTAAAGATGGCAAAATTATTTTATCAAGAACATATAATTCTGACCACATAAAAAATGTTTTGGAATTACAGAATCATAAAATTTCAGTGTTGAAAGTATCTGTTGAATCCAATTCTATATGATACTTCTATTTAAAAGCAATATGATTTGGGTCAAAGAAAATGACTCAGTTCACTAACTTAATATACTTCATTTACTTAATCATCATTGCAAATACCAAAAGAATAAATTAGCAGAGAGGATAAAGTTTGGTATTCTGAGTTTCTTATTCATGGTGCATGTACTGGATTTCTTTCACCTAACGTATTGTCCAGAAAACAAAAGAGCCTATGTAACTATTCCCAAAGCTAATAATATATCTAATTCAATGTAAATGATACAGCAAAACTTTACAACTAGCCATTTTAAGTGTTAATGTAAAAGTAAATGTTACCTACACAAAAGCTTTTTGTCAGATCTTTGTATACTTTACCCGATTCGTGTGGGTGGTAGAAAAATCTTTTATAATAGTAAGAGTATTACCTGTACTACAACCCGGTTTATCTAAGATAAAGACTCTCTTCAATATCTGTGTACATTTATAGTTCTTAAACCTTTGGATTAGTGATGCCAAAGAGTGTATGGCTGATTTAACACTAATAAAATTCTGGGTAGGGGTAGGGAGAAATGGAGTCCATTTTCTAATGTGTTGAAAGATTAAAAGTGAAAATAAAAGTGATTCCCAGAGCTTTCAATAAATTAAAAATCCTTATTTTTCTTAGGGCCAGAAGTAAATATGTACTACTAAGTTTTCAATGCCTATTTTTTTCATGTGTCATATTTTGGCAATAATGTGCAGCAAAGAGGAATGTAAGTATAGAAAAGCATGTAAAAGTCTTACTACAAATGCAAAGAGCTGGTGATATTATGTGATTATGTGGTAAACAACATGTTTTGATTTGAATGAAGAGCTGTCTGGAAATTAGGGAAAAATGACATTTCATAACGGTTTTGTTGGAATCGATACAGTGTTTGGTCCTTCAAGTTGAAATATCTTCATCATATCTACAGATGTCTCTTCTTTTTCAAGTGTCTGCATAGTCACTTTCATTCAAGTCTCCTGCCTCCACTACCATATCCCCTCCCCATCCACCAGCTCTGAACCTCTGGTCCTTCTTTCTCTCAGATTTATTCCACCTCTCCAACAGCCAAACCTCAATTATAGCATCCCTATAATTAAAAACCTGAAGTGGCACAAGTAAGTTTTAATACAATTCCATAACATTTAAGGGCCCCACTTAGACTTTCATCTCATACTCGTCTTTCCAGCCCACGTGGGCACCCTGCCCTGCCCCATCGATCCTGGATGCATTCACTTACTCGATGGTCTTCCTTCATTTCCTCCTATGGAATCTTCCCAAAATGGTTCCATAACACCTAGGAGATGTGTCCATATCCTATCCCATCACCAAAAACTCATCTTTCCCGTCTGGGAGCTTCTTTGATATAATGGAAAGTGCCTAGGTCACTGACCAGCCGGATTGTCATCTCTTTACTGAGTCTCAATTTTTCTACTTATTTAAATAATATTCCCTCACATTGAAGGACTAACATTTATTGGATGCTTACTTGGCCCAAGTAGACATTCAGCAAATGTTAATTTCCTCTTTTTTCTTTTTAAATTTTTTAATTACAATTATCATTCAATATTATATTTGTTTCAACACAGTGCTTAGACATTTATGTGGCTTACCCAGTGATTCCCCCAATAAGTCAGTACCCACCTGGCACCATATTGCTTCATTTATTCTTACAGTACTTAACACCTTTCTGCTTTTATTAAATATCATCGACTCTCCTATCACAGGTAAACCCCTGAGGACAAGATCTGTACCGTAACTATTTATTTAGCTTACTTTTTACCCCTCACATTATTTTGCACATAGTAGGTGATTAATGAATTCTTGTTGAACAATTTAAACAATTATATAAAATTAAGAGTGACATATATTAAGATACAATATAATGGAAAACCTGCTTCTGTTTGGGTACACATATTGAAAATAACAAGAAAAACTCGAATAT